TCTCGTACTCGTCAAAACCGGTCCCGTTGCAGCACTTATGTGCAGAAATGTAAGTTAGCCAACAACGAAAATGGCAACTCTGGCAACTCTGATTGGTGGAAACAAAGCTCCATCCAATCAGAAGCACAAACCAGGGTTCGGCGAATACAAAAATGACTTCATCTTCTGAATCATTTAAGCCAAATCAGGCCAATCTATGGTCTCTTACTGCACTTAGGTAACACGGAAAGACGCAAAAATCTCCAAAAAAAAATTTTCTTTCAAATCGGCACTCTGAATTCTCACGAAATCACTGAAGGATTTTCAGCCAACTATTAAATTTATTCTTGTTTTTGTATATGTTTATATATCATGTTCCCATTGATAGCGTTACTTCACCTATAGCTTTCGAGACATAAACCACACACAACCCTCATCCTTTAAATAGCTCTTACTGGAGGCTAGTACGTCGAAACTTCAGCTTTTCTATCTCCACATGGTGGCCAGTCTACCTTATCAACTCAATTGAAAGAAACAGCATCTTGTTACAAGCCAGCCCGTTTGTCAGACGTAATTTAACCCCTGTTAGTAACGTCTGCAAAGCAGCGCCGTGATCCTTGTTCTTGTCCCCCCAAAGGAATCAACGAATTACCGGAAGTGCGTTGGCTACTCGACAAGGGCTTTTTTAACAGGACAACCATGGTGCGTATCTAGCAAGTCCTGGTACACAGGGGGGCCTTGCCTAGTCCCTGGGCCTCATTATTCCGCGCGGCCAATTCGTTTCGGGTCACGTGGTCCAAGGGAAAAAGTGACCTTGGATACGTCGCCGAAGTGAATTGACCGAGAAGGCCTGGGAAAACGCCGTACGGGGACTAGGCAAGTGAGGGCCCAGAACAAGGATTTGGGCACTGTTTCGCAGACGGACCGACACGAAACCAGAGTTAAGTTTCGCCTGTGATGCAGGCTAGTTACAAGGGTAAAGCTTAATCTGCCTAATTTTATCTTCCACAGGGTAGCAATCAGACGGACTTAAAATCACTGGACGACCAACTTGAAAACTATAGAAGAAACAGGTACCGGTTTTCGTCAGAATCCGATCTTCGAGAATTGATTCAACCCGATTCAAAGTTTTGCAACGACGACGAAACCGAGGACACTAGTCCGGGAAACGCCCTCTTTCTAACGAAATCACGTCTCCGAGAACTGACCAAAGTATCAACATGATGGTACTGAATGATTCTGTTTGGTCAAGAGCAGGCTGTGTCCGACCATAACAAATCCCCGTGGAAAGCAGTCCACGTGACACCTTTTGGTTGGTTGCTATGGATTGAACAGGATCGAAGGATCGGATGTTGTCGTCAACGGACACTTATATGGTTTTTTCAACTTTTGAGACCAGTTAGCTAAAATCCACTAAAACGGCTGGACCAAACGCCTTAAAATCAGTCAAAACTGATTTCTTGAAAACTAACGAAGAAATTACTTTGCAAAGTCGCGCAAATTTGCAGATCTTAGCTTGGTGGAGGCAAGTCTTTGTAATTCACACCATACAAAAGTCTGTAAAAAAATGCGACTTTGTGCAGCGATATCTTCGCTCGCTTTGGACTTACCACCTTTAAACTTGGTAAGTTTCATAATTGTTGGGTGCTCTTTCTAGCAGTGTCGATGGATATTCGCTTACCGATCTTTATCGAAACTTGAAAAAACCGTGAAAGGGCGTATTCTATGAAAATTTGCCGACGGACAAAGGGGTCACCGATCGACAAAAGAGAGCTCTACCTTAAAGGTGATAAGAAAGAGTGAGGGCTTTTAGACGAGAGAACCTGTGAAGTAGGCACTATAAGGCCTGAGTTCTTAGTGATTTCTTTTTTTAATGAAAATGATCATAAACAAATCAGCTACATTCTAGCTTTCCCTAAAAATTTTTTAATGGGCGACGTACAAGCCAACAAATGCAAAAAAAAGACAAGAAAAGGTGGAAAAAAAAGAAAAGAAAGGCGGAAGTTTTCGAGCTGTTTCCAGCTCTTCAAGCCTGTTCAGCGATATCAAAATTTACTACAAATACTTCGGAAGAAAGTGAAGTACAAATCACAATTCAAGATGTTTCAAGACAAAGACATCCAATACTAATTTCTCTTTGCACAATTTCTTTTGTTGTTTTAAGTGGGGGTTCTCTTCATTATGAGAGATAATAACTGACAAAAAATAAACCTACTGTTTAGAATGCTAGTTAATTGCTTGTTTGGTAAATACTAAACCAGTTTGTTCTTCACCTCCAAGTCAGTGTTTACTTCCTACAACATCACCACATATCTAATACTGATGGTAGTTTATTGTTTTTATCTTTTGCTTCTTTGCCACAGATCTTGGATGTTTCTTGGTGTTGTGGAAACTGTTATTGGTTCGCTTTTGTGTTGTGATATGGATATTGTTCAGTGCCTTTTCAGTTTTTTGTATTACACCTTTTCATGATTGCCACCATCTGCAATACCAGAAACTACCCATATCTTAGAGAAGTCTTTCACTCCTTCCCATCATCAGACTTTCTTGTTGTTTTTTCATATTCTTTTGCCTTGGAGAAAAGGTTTTCTGCAAATGTGTGTAAATCGGGCAACTACAAGGGAGACAAAAGTATAATCAGTGATTCTCAAAGTGAATCCAATAGGACCTTGAACCTGAGTTGCCACAGGTATATTTGTTGTGGTTCAATTTTGTCCTTAGTTTCAATTCTATTTCCCTTTATTTTGGGGTGCAGTACTGTATGATAATGAGTTTAAAACAAAGGGAAATCAGTAAAATTTAAACCAAGGATAAAATTGAACCATGACATATTCACCTATTAGAAAAGCAGTTACATTTACAGTGGACAGACCAAGTTGTCTCCAAGATTAGAGATTCAAGCCAGTTAAAACACAGCTCACTAAGTACACTTACAAAAATAATGCCTAAAGAGGTTTTCAATAGCGTGTACTGCAGGTATTTTCTGGAAGCCTTTGCAGGCACTAGAATGCCCAGGGGAATGGGTGATGCTATATTTAGGTTATGTAAAGGTGTTGGCCTAGAATTGGGCATCATTTATGGGAACTGATCAGCAGTGTGCTAAATTATAAGTCCTTTTTGTTAATGGTTAGACTGGATGGGAGAGGAGTTTTTTGGCACATTGTGTTGAACCGAAGAATGGGGTTGCAAATTAAGTTACACCTAAACATGGTCTGATATAAGGTACATAGTGTTCTGTGTAGGACTTTCAGGAACCTGGTTGCAGACCCCCACAAAAATTTGTAGGGTACCCCCTTCTCCAGCATTCACTTGGGTTAAACTAGGGAACTACTTGCTCTGCTATCAAAATATATGATGCGGGCTATGAAGAGAAAATACTAAGAGTTGCTTGCTTCAAAAATATTTGGTTTTTGCCAAGAGAGCATTTAAGCAGAATGTATTTCACAAGTAGTTGGGCAAAAAGATTGACAATAACAGTCATCAGAAGCAGAAGAATATTGTTTACATATTATACATGCTCTGGCTTCAAAATTTGTAAACAATTTTATGACCAAAGATAACACTGCCTGGAATACATGTAATTTAAACAAATTTAAAATTATCTTTGGTCTTTATTTAGCCAATTAAAGCAGAGAGTCTACTGCTGATTAATTCTATACCATGCTATATTTCACACTAGATGACTGTACCTTTAATTATTAAATAATTATGTGGACACAATCCACCAGGCCCTGGTTGTTTAAATGTGTGTTGTCAACTGGATAGATTTTTAATCCAGTGGATAGTGCTATCCAACGTTTGAACATTATGTAAATAAATATTAGGTGGATAGAAGTATTTTAACCTTCGTCTAGAACTTCTTGTGCACTTTCCATTCAACCCAAAATTCTGGAAATTTCAGTTGGTACATCAAATGGAACGTACCATTTCGGTTTGGTCTGACCAGAATATTCGGGACCAGCTTTGAAGGTGGTCCTCTTTGACCGGTCTGGTCATTTCAGTCTCTCGGACCAAAATGTCCCTTTCCATTTGACAAAACTGTTGTCCCTAGAACCGCTCTTTTGTATCCTGCTTACAAGAACAATAAGCAAACACGCAACGGCTTGGGTTGGGTCTGTTCAACCGGAATGAACCATTCCATTGAGCATGAGAAATTTCCGAAATTTCACACCGGAATTTTTGTTGAATAGAAAGCATCCCTTGAATCAAAAAGCATTCAGACCTGAAGCAAATCATACTAATCCACCAACCAAAAGAACTTGCACTTCCACTCACCTTAGACTAAGGCACCTGAGTAATTTTACACAGCGTTAGGAAAAGGAGTCAGGGGTCCTCTTACCTCGTATGTCTGAGCTAAATACACACCAGCGACATTCCCTAATGCAAGTCCAACCTATATGAAAATGCAAAGCATAGTTATAGTTTTGACTTCACTTAATATAATTAAAATAATAGACTCTGACTCTAAACACAATGATCATGACCTTTTCTGTTTAGGAGAGGCTCCTAGAGGGTATGTTAGGATATATGGGTGGGGTAAGTGTACCCAAGGGGCACGATCCATTCAACCAAAATTCCAACCGGTCCGACCGGGAAAAGTGGTCCACCTCAAAAGGTGGACCCGTTTTTTCGAAACTTTTCCGGTTGGACCGAACCGATCCATTGAGTTTTGGACCGAAATTTCCGGAAATTTTGGTTGAATGGATCGCGCCCAAGGTTTCCAAATGTGTGAGTAGTGTTGGAGCTGCTCGAAGGTCTCTCCTAATTGGTCGNGACCGGGAAAAGTGGTCCACCTCAAAAGGTGGACCCGTTTTTTCGAAACTTTTCCGGTTGGACCGAACCGATCCATTGAGTTTTGGACCGAAATTTCCGGAAATTTTGGTTGAATGGATCGCGCCCAAGGTTTCCAAATGTGTGAGTAGTGTTGGAGCTGCTCGAAGGTCTCTCCTAATTGGTCGCAGAAAGCAATGACGTGTCATTCTCCCAACTGTGTTAGTGTTGTTGGGGGTCAGGGAAACGCACCATTGGTGACTTCTCTTCCGAGCAGCTGCTACATGCAAATGTGTACCTGGGGGTGTGGGGCGGGGACCCATATGTAAGAAGTGATTGTACCTCCGTGAACAGTAACTGAATGGTTTCCGGATGACGTTGAACAACTCGGCTGACAGACAACTATTGTCCACAATTAAGAAAGTATCAAAAGCACTCACCACGAGAGAAGCAAGTTGAGTTGTAGCTGGCATAATTTAACTCTAGACGAACGTTAGGTTCAAATTCGAAGAAATCAGCGCTTGTTTTTCAATCCACAAGTAAGCTTTATAGTACTAAAAGTAGAGCTCTTCTCTTTTCGTTCACCCGTAGTGTTGAGCCCGTCATGGAAATAACCAGCGGGCACTATCAACATTACGTAAGTACTTCATATATGCTAATACCTACCCAATATGGCGGCAAACATGGCCAGAAGAAGTTGGAGTGTCATAAGATTCTCCAAAAATATGACCTCCTTGCAACTTTTTAGGCAGAGAATTCTACTGAAAACAAGTAACATGTATACGGAAGGTAAGTGAATACATTTCCGGATTCTTGTAATTTAGCTTTAGACTTGAGCTTAAATGAAAAAATAAAGAGCGAGTAAAATACATTCAAGTTTAATTCGTGCTGTTGTATTAAATGAGGGATTTTTTTCGCTGCCTATATAGGTTCCCACATTCAGATGTACACTTAAACTGCAAAACAGTCGGTTTTGTTTTCTCAAAATCGTTTTAGAGTAGAGTTCTGAGTAAGCTTAAGAGTAGCGTGAAAGCCTCGCGCGCGAGCCTTATACGCCCATAGGGCGTGTGAGGCGAGAGAAAAAAAACCGATACACCTGGTGATTGGTTTCGCGAGAGAATAGTGCATGTTATTGTTTACGTTTGGCTTCACTTATGTATCAGTCAATTCTTGCTGCGCCCATCCCTCCTTGGGCTACTGCAGGCATTTGCTTGCGCTGTTACTCCTGGGGGTGGGCATTTACCAACCCCAGGGCCACCCCCAAACTTTTGACACGCACGTGGTTTCGTACTTGAATATAACTATAACTACACAGACGATTTTAATGAAATACAAGCGGATTGGCTCATCTGTCAAGGATGGAAAAAACTAAGAAAATTAAGAGAAAAGATTACATGTATGAGAACTTATGAAACATTTACCAAAGGGAAAATGCTTTCATTTTTTTTTTTTTCAAATTTTCCCAACTAATTCTTTAATTCATTGTATGGAAACCAGCCTGTAGAATTTGTATAGTGGATATTGAGAATTAAGGTACATACAGTGGAACCTCACCTTACGGCCACCTTGGTAATATGGTCATCTCGTTATTACGGCCCTTTTTTTTGGCCATCGGTGACCGTATTAACAGGGTTCCACTGTATATGAAATGTGCATTTTTTAACTTAATAATGCAATTAGCTACAGTACCAGAGTCTTCACATCTACAAATCGGTAACTTTCATTGTGCTTGACCAAAAGCTCTGTGCTCAACAACTCAATCATGCATGGACTGGACCAAGGATTTTCCAAAAAATTAGGGTACTTAGATAAACATTATTACTACTGTTGAGCACTGAATGTATTAAGTTACATGTTTGTGTTGTAGGTTAATCCATTTCCAGTACATCACATGCAACAAAACAGTACAATGTTAATCTCTTGTAAGCCCTCACAAAGCCTTATGTATACTAATGCAATGCATTAATTATTGTTTCCACGCTCTTTTCCCTATCTTTCAGCATCAGACACTTTTCAAACATTTGATCAGACATCAAAACGGAAGGATTTTAGGAGAATGAAGGCAGCAATTTACAAGAAAAATAGACAGGATTCGAACTTGGAAAAGGCAGCGCGAGATGAAAAATGTTAGCAACCTTTTTAAACATAAGTGTAGCAAATATATATTTGATTGATGGATTAACTATTATTTTTCTCTAATTATTGAGTAGGGTTGTAATTGGAAAGTTGGCTATAATCAGACACTTGTTGATTGAACAGTCATGTCGACCAATCATATTAAGTGCACTCAGCTAAATCAACATACGGAATTCCGTCTATTGATCCACGTCACCTGTAAAATCGCGGGTCCCATGACTATTTGCTGACTCACAAAGGATGCCGATGCATGTCGCATCCTTTGGCTCTAGACCGAAGTGTTAGCGTATTGCTTCCATGATACAAAGGTAATTTAACTTAAGCAAATTGATAATTCGAAGCTTTCGCACTACTCTCCATTTTATCAGGAAATGCAACTGCTCAGCCTGTAAATTATTTTGACTTCATAAATTATTTTAACGATTTAAGCCAGTAGAATGTATGGAATGCGGAAAACAGACGGAAAGTCGAATTGTTTCAAATTGTGCTGGAAGTTGTTTTTATTGGTATGCAAATCACCTACCCCTTTGCTTACTTTCCATGAAACTGAAATATCCTGGCTTTTTTACGACTTTTCAATTTGCTTCGTTTCATTTTATATTATTTTTGTGAAAGCTGAATTCTTTCATTTGAATTTACACCTTCAAAAGGAAAAAAATCTTCGAGGAAACGTTGTGTATAAAACCATGGCGATACGTGTCTAGTTCACTTCACTTACACTTACGGGCAAATTACCCTTCATTTGGGAGATTTCCCTGGAGACAAAAATGTCGCCTTTGATTTCTCAGATGCTTGCCTTTTTTGGGCACCCTGTTTATTTTGACTATCAAGATTTTTTTAAGCTTCGCTTCAGACTTTTCATGCCAATGTTATAATGTGGGAAAGTTATGAGAAATGCTGTAACTGAATAAAGGCGTGCAACATGCTTGAAGACTGCATAACTTGATCTTATTGGTATCTTTTGTTCTTCTATTGACTCCAAAACAATCAAGATGTTTCACCAATTTCCACCTAAATAATAGGAACATTTGATTGACAGGAAAATTTGCATTTTTTACTAGCGACACGTGTCAATAGGCAGGATTTGATAATGACCAATCACAGAATTTATCACAATAGCCATACACCTGTGGCAACAACCACTTGCTCTACTAAACTGAAGATTTTCCAAAATGGACAAGTAATTTGTACCATTAAACAGTGTCTCTTCTCAATATTTCCCTAACTTTGGATAATTGGTAGTGAAAGCTCTTTCCAAAAAAAAAGAATGCATTGGTTTTTCTGAAATTGTAATGGTTGTGAGTCATTGGTAACAGGACTTTACTATTAATTGGTCAATGTAATAGGGCATTATGCATCACGCCTAAGTAATTGGACAATAAGGTCTTGATTGGGTTCTTTTTTCGCATCTAGCAAAAACTTCGTAATAATTGGAATATCTTGTGTTTAAATTTTAAAACAGTTATTGTCAGTTGTAATTGAAAATAATTGTTTTAATTCATGTTTAAAAATGTCGTTTGGGAACAGGGTCAGAGTTTAAGGTAATGGTTTTGCAGTCATTCAGAACACAAGTGACATCAACTTTAAGCATCAGACTACTAGCCATCATGTTCTAAACTTATTGCTTTGGTATTTTATTCCACAGTGCATATACCTCTAGATACAGTGAGGAAGGACTGGATGGCTAAAAATGAATTCTCAACAACAACAAAACTTGCCAGACATTATGGTATCTATGAACACATGTTCAAGCAAGAGTTCACACCTTCAGTTAGGATGTTAGTAAAATTTGGTGAAACAGACCAAGTGCATTTTGGAAACTTTCTAACTCCATCTCAGGTGTGGTATACATTAAAGTTACACTGTACTTAAATAATTGTTTCTAAAACTAATAGACTCAAATTATTTGTTAGAATTGAAGATTTTCAATAATTTCCAGTATTGAAACTCATCATAACTGACATGATAATAAGCAATTATTGGATGAGGTTTTTGTGATCTCCGGAATAATCAAGGTCGAGGTAAGTGTTATCAGCCAACAAGCCGTGGGCCGGGGCTGATAACACTTACCAAGACCTTGATTATTTAGGATATCACAAAAACCAAATCAAATAATTGTTTTATTATACATTGTTTGGAAGGAAATAACGACAAACACATTGTGGCAACTTGGAACCTGAATTGACATTGTTGTTGGAAATCATGCATTGCGTGTGCAGCCTACAGATTTGTCAGTTATCTGCTAGCAGATAACTAATAAATCTGTATGTTGCGCTGATTTCCAAAATTAGCTGTAGGCTCTTAGCCGATGAGAGCACAGGTAGTGAGTACAATATATGATAATAGTTATAATAATAACAACTATTGCTCAATGCAAGAACAATACCTTGATTTTTTTGGTCATTTTTTAAAAGGCTACAAAGTAACAGAATTTTTCCATGTGACCTTTTGATTTTATAGTAGTCAAACACTGTTGTGAACTTTATGCTAGTTTGAGCTTCCTTTTTCGAGAAATAAGGTATGCAAAAAAAATGCCTTGGTGTGCTTTACATTTTTTTGTTAAAATCAGAATGTAAGTTTTGCTATTTGTTAGCATTTTTCATCATCACATTATACATGAATTTAATTTTCAACAATTCCTGTACATAAAGACACAACACCATATTATGCTTCTGAGCACTCTTTCTGTGCTGTCTGTTTTTCTGGATCAGACTTTTGAATTTTCAATCCACCTGTTATAGATTGCAAAGGCCGATACAGCAAAAGTCGTTACGCACAGTGTACAGTTATGAAGAACTGTTAACAGCATAAAGGCCGGAAGGCTGTAAATTAAAAGAAGTGAAAGATGGCAGAGGTGGACTGGAAGAGACTTAAAAATTTCCTAGAATGTTCATTTGAAAACAAGACTGATTTTCGGCCCTGCTTTATAATACCTCCACTAGCCTGCATGAAAGATGCTTTATGGGCCAAGCGAGGTAAACAGAGCATTTTGCGCAAAGTGCGAGACAAGTGCAAAGCACACGATGAGGGATGAGAAAAGAACATGACGTTTTTCTCCTCTCCTGATCTCATGGTTGATGCAAAATGCCCTTTTCTGATCTCCTCACTTGGCTGC